GAAAAGAGGCGACAAAAAAAAAAAAACCCTGAAGCATGCCCTGCCCAAACTCGACGAAAATCCTTAGAATAGCAAGAAAGTCAATTCGCCAAACCAAAAAATCGCAAGGCTCCCTAGGCCTTGCAAAGCCAACCCCCAATAGGCCCTACATAGAGACCGTGAGCGCCCACTCAAGGACTCAAAGCTTCAAAGCGCCAACATCTTGAAGCCTCAGGGGCCGCTCTGTCCCCGCTGAACGATTCAACAAGCGTCGCCCTGATCCCTCACATGATCGTCGGGGCTGCCGAGGATGTGAGTGCCCGGTGTGATGCCTGGCGACCGGCCGATCAGCGCTTCGAGCTTTTGAGGCGTTTACAGAGACTGGGTATCAACCCCGGCGATGACTATCTGACTAGGGTTACTACGCTGGCTATTCGTTTGTCACATCGTCGTCTAGTTGCGAACCTTTACAGCAGGAGGTTCAGGGTTTGGACACAGACATAAACATAGAGATATATAGATAGATATATATATATATGTGCTGTCTCCACTTGTCACTCACTGACTCACTCACTCGCTCGCCCGCTCGCTCGCTGAATCACTCAGGCAACCAAACCCGAATGACATGTCTCCCGCAACCCAACCCCGCCTCTATCATTCAATCAGTTTGTCTATGTTTGTTTGTGTCCATGTGTGCAGACTGCACTAGACTTTGACAGCTGAAGCCCGAAACTCCTAACCACTAACCCTGCGAAAATCCCCAACCTAAACCTTAAACCCACGTCCCATGACTGCGTTGCTAAACACCAAAACCCCAACCTGTAAACCCCGCTGAAGCTCGAAACCCTGAGCTGTTTAGAGGCCCCGGGGCAGCACGTGCTGGATCCGCGGAAGGGGCCAGCTGCAGGCCCGGAAGCGACCCGCTCAGCCTGGAAATGATCTTGGCCCAAAGTTCTGGAGATTGGGAAGGTAGCTCACTTTAAATTGGCTTCCCACAGAGAGAGAGTAATGATGAGTAGCAGAAGGTCGGCGGGTGGGCTGTACTTTCTAGATGGTCTGGACAGTGATTCAGTGATGATGACCGTCTGCGAACTCTCATGATGATTCTTACCGGGATCGGCTTTCAGCTATCGCTCTTTGACTCTGTGTTTCTGGGAAACTCCCAGGCCCAAACCCTCACCACACCGAAAACCCACGTACACAACGCCTCAATCGTCCTGAACATGGAAGCCCTGTGCCGTCTACTGTGGGGCCGGGTTCTTTATAATCAACAATCAAACAGTACCCTCAGAGTCCCCGTGTAGTCCCAAAGCCACGTTCCAAAGGCCTCCATATGACACCCCGAATCCCCTACAGTTTCATTCGGAAATCCTGAAGCCTGGGAAGGTCTTGGAGTGCGTCTGCCGGGCGCCCCTTTGTGGGGCCAAGCTCTTTGCATCCGCCCTGGCGGCTTTGGGCACCTCGGACTCGGAGTCGTCCTTTGTTCACACATCTACATATCAACAGAAAAGTATGTATGCATGCATACATGTATGTATGTATGCATGCATGCATGTATGTATGTATGCATGCATACATGTATGTATGTATGTATGTATGTATGTATGGTTTTTTGGGGTTCAGGGTTTGGGTGTGAGGGGCTTCAGGTTCTGTGTTTGTGGGTTCGAGCAGGTTTAGGTTTGGGGTTTGGTTTAAATCTCTGCTTGTGATTGGGTTTGAGGACTGTAGTCTGTCGTGTTTTCGGATCGAGGGCTTTAGTTTTAGGGTTTGGGGGTGTTTAGAGGTCGAGTCTGATCAGAGTGAGGGTTCCCCCTTGCATTGTCATGGCTATCCCTACACATTGTCATTACTTTTTGCAAGGACTCGTACTTGCATGGCAATAATGAGCCTCATCCAGACTCCAATTTTGCAAGGTCGTCCACTACGCTCCCTGCAGTATGTTCTCAGCCGAGACTGAGGTTACCACATTCTGGGCAGCAAGGGCGTGCGTGGTCGTCCTTTGAAGAGTGAGCCTTGATGTGGTTTGGGGTTCAGGACTTCCGGTCATACGTTGCTTTTGTTTGAGCCGACAGATGCAAGTTTTCGATCAGGATAACATGAAGGCTCAGGGGGGCCCTTCATTAGGTTGGAGTCCGAAACTCCACAAGGGTCCTCAACTCCATCCGTCCACCTTGCACGCTCACACACTTCCTGGTGAGACACCCCCCAGTGCTGGACCGTCAACTTCCAGGCCCCAAACCAGAACTCCCCAATCCCAAAGCAAATCTCCTCGAGATCATTGGCTGGACCCTGGACTTGCCTCACCGCACCGATTTCAAGGCTCGGCGGCTTTGAATGTCTAAAGGGGTTGCAGCTTCAGGATGCAACGTTGGAGGGTTCAGCCGGCGGAGTTTGTGGTTTCGGGACATGGGATCGCATATCATGACATTCCTGGCATGGCAGAACTCAGGAGCCAAAAGGTGTGTATTGCGAAGCCTTCCGATTTGGCCTCTATCTCATGTTCACATGAGGCTCCTGGCCAATCATTAATAGCCCCTGTCTCGAGGATCCAGTGTATGTGCAACCCCAGCTGAGGCACTTGACTACCTGAGCTTCAACTGTAAGTTGAGGTGATTCACGACCCAAACTCAGGTGCTTCTATACCGAAACCCTGGGACCGTTGACCTGTGTTTTGGCTGCGATTTTCCATGTTATCACAGGTGGAGCCGCCGGCCCAGCTGATGAAGGCCTTCGAGGCTCGGGGGCTGAGAAGGAAACGCCATTTCGGGATGTCGCGCTCTGTGGGGGGGGGTTGTTAGCAAGCCCCAACTGTCCTAAACCACGCGGAGCCCAACAGCCTTCGCTCGCCCGGGGTTCGGCAGGACGCCCGTGAAGCCTGGCAAAGGCAAAAGGAAGCTGCGGCGCGGCGGCTTCCGACCGCCAAGGCCCTCGCAAGCGGGGGGAGGATGTCAACTGCGAGCTTCGGAGGGCAGCTCATCTTGTGCGTTATACTACAGTCGCGGTCCGGTACAAACGCCCTTTCTTGTGCAAGAATGTTGCAGGTTCTTTGTAGAGAGCTCTGGCTGCCTCGAGCCCGGTAGCGCAGCCTGAGCCCTCGAACCTAAACCAAACCTGCCGGAGAGGGTGTGGAACTGTTGACAAAGCGCTTGGGGAGGAGCGAATGGCACGCAGTGAGGCTGCGGAATCTGCCCTCCAGACGCTGGCAAGATGATACAAGTCGGGGTTTTTAGGGTCTGAGAGTGTTAGGGTTTTCGGGTTTGGCTCTTGTGCTCCTGGGCTGTTCGAGTCGGCGGTGCTGCTAGGGTTCCTTCACTTGGTGCACATCGTGTGATTACAACAGCTTGCGCAAGAGCATTTTAACCCTCAAATCCCCTGACGCGCTCTGACTCGAACCCTAAACTCTGAACCCTAAACCCACATGATTTCGAACAGATGAGCAACTCGGAACGAGGACGAGCTTCCTTTGACCTCCTTCGCTGGCTTGACTGGGGGGCAACGAACATGACTCGGGGTTGTTTCCTGGGGGCACGGCGGAGCTGACTGCTTTGCAAAATGAGGACGGTGTCCCGGAGGACCTGGTTGTGGAAGGGACTGACCCCACTGATTGGGTGCGTAAAATGTGGAATCAAATCTGTGCATTTGTGGAGGTGAAGGAGGGTTCCCAGCAGAACTATGGCCGGGCAGTGCACAGCACAAGGGCCGTGCATCATGCTGCACAGCAGAGCCATTACACCCCCGTCATCACCAGTCGAGCTGGAGGATTCCTTGGAGGTTGGACGGTGTGCCCAGGAGATGGCGCGCCCTCGGTGGAGGGCCTAGACCCACGCTGGTTCTCGAAATTGGCAGCGATGGAGGAGTGTGCCCGAGGGCGACAACGAGGGTCCGGGTGCCAATCGTGGAAGGAAGGGCCGCGATCCGAATGAATATTACAGAGCTTGATGTGGATGGAGTTCCACTTGCTTATGCTACGGACCACTTGTTGGGACTGGCAATGGGCAGGGATGATGAAGATTGTATGGCAGAGTCGGCAGAGTACGACCTTCACCTTGGCCAACTCGGGCTACTTCTGCAAAAAAAATGAGCCGCTCCTCCTCAGCGAGGACAGCGTGCATGGAGGAGCTCTGGGAGGAGCAGATTGACCGTTTGGAGGCGGCTACAGGATGGGAGTCCGAACAGGTCCGGCAGGCCAGACAGGACAGCATGGACAGTGCGGAGCATGAAGGATGGCACCGTTGGGCACCAAGCTTTCCCAGAGCAGGTGGAAGCATCAGGAACGGCACTCGGCACAGGGTCGGGGGCCAGCAGCTCCACTGATGTGTCCTTCGTGGGTGCGGGGTGAGGGCCGCGAGCTACAGGCAGCGCAGGCTCCGGGGGCAGGGAGCTTGTCGTCTTTCGATCTGATAGAGGCAGGAGCTCGCGAGAGGTGCCGGAAACGCGTGACGACCGTGGTGCCTTCCCCCTACGCGACCGCTCAAGCTGAGGGAGGCCAGCATGCACTGAAGAGGTTCGCAGGCTGGCCCCTGGACGGCCGACTCGCGAGCCAGGCGTGTGGGGATGACACTGGAGGAAGCGACTGCGAGATGGCTGTACATGCTGAACCTGCGTGACGCTTTCCACAACCTGGAGACGCAGATGATGGGCATGATGCGAGTATTTGCCATGCTCTACATGGAGTGCTGTCAGCTACTGATGCGACACTCCAACTTCAACACGGACGTGGTAAAGGTGGATGTGGATGATGAAGAGCTCCTGATGCAGGCGAGCTTGGACCTCAAAAGGAAACAGGAGGAGGATAAGGAGGCAACTGACTTAGCGGAGTTGATCACTGACGAAGACGAGGCCAAACAGGAACCTGCAGCCAGGGCTCGACAAAAGGAGGATGAAGAAGAGTGGATGACGGAGTGTTTTCGAAGAGAAGATGCGGAGCTCGGAGACAAATGGCTGAGTACGAGGCTGTCCTGTACAAGGATTTGGGAAAACTGGCAAGTTCTGGACCACGAACCTTCGCCTGGAAACCACAAACGGCTGCGCCTGATGGCCCGCGACAGTCGTGGTGAAAGGGTTGTTGAATGGAGTGTCTCTGGTGGGGCGTCGGTGCAGCTATCCTTGGAGCAGGGCACCTCGCGGGTACCTTCGAGGCCCGGGTCTTCGGGGGGCCAGCAGTTGATGCAGACGATGGTACCTGGGTATTTCATTGGACTCAGTGCTTCAGGGAATGTATGAGGTATGGAAGAGGGCAAGCGGGAGATGAGGTGGTACACTTTGCCACGAGGATGGAAGTGCTTACCCTGTATCATGCACACCTGTTGGAGGATGAAGATAGACAACAGCAGCGAACGACTGTGGAATTGCGGGGGTTGCCAGTGGAAGAGTAGCATACAGAGGGAAAGCAGACGAAACGGGCTTACGGTCGTGACAGCAGGTTTATGACCAACCACAATATGACCGTCGAGTGTGAGGGTGCCCAATGAGGAAAGGTTTTCGGCTGATGTCCATTCGCTCACCCCACGGGGTTCTTTGGGAGGCTTCGGCGGACCGAAACGGGAGCGCTTAAAACAACCAAATGGTAACCCAAACCAGCCTCAGCCCCAAAGCCCGAAAAGAAGCCACAAACCCGAGCATCCCACGGCAACTCAGGATTGCCTATTCCCAGGGTTCGGAACTCTTCTGCAGCCACCAGCTGCTTTGCTGCTTTGAGCTCTGGGTTTTTTGTTTCGGAATGGGATGTAACATATCTTACTTTATCTTACCATAGCCCAGATGTTACTGGTGTTTGTATGACTCCATACCGTAAACTGTTTGTGTGGTGTTCTAGGATTTCGTAGCCATATTACTAACTGTGTACCCAGGATGCGGAATCTTCACAAGGACCCCAGTCTGTGCCGACTTAGATTTATTCTAACTGAAGGCACCTTGAGGGTATAGGGGAGGGCATGGCTAAGATGGTCGGAAGAGCTCCAGCGCCTTTCAGCATATCCCCAAGCCCAAGCCCCCAAGCCTTAAACTGTCAGCAGGTTCCGCGTGTCCGAGTCGGTGATGGTCCCCCGCCGGGGCACGGAGGCGGTGGCACAGAGGGCCGCGCAGGACTCGGCACAGTTGATGTCGCGAGGGCTCCAAGGCACTACATCTTGCAAAGCTCATTCCAAGCTCTGCTTCTTTCGACTGCTGTCGAAGGAGCTCAAGGTTCTCAAAGGATCGGGTCCGCGCCGTTTGCTGGACCTCGGGAGCTTCAGCTGCAGCTGAGATCTCCAGGGTTCTTGCAGTTTGGAGTCAGGCTTCGGAGTCGAGGGCGCGAGGCTCAGGGTGGTTCTAGGAGACCCCATGCAACTCCGCAAGGACACCGCCCTGAGCCCTGAACACCCACCTCTAAAGAACCTCGTCAAAGACCCGAATTAAGCCGTTTCAGCCTTTCCTAAAGACTTGGACATCCGAAGAACCTCCCTAAACCCCACTGTCTCCGAGCAAAGGACGGGAAGCGGGTGCATCGCCATCTCTGCTCTTCTTGCTCTCGAGGCCCTCGGCAGTGCATCCGGGTTTCCGGACTGAAAAACTTAGCTTCGCAACAGATGTGCGAATACATCCATGCACATCTACATACGTGTCTGATCTCTCTATCGATTTAGCTATCTATCTGTGTCTGCCTATCGATCTATCCATCCATCTATCTGGGCACAGATGTAGATATGGTAGGTCATGTCCAACTCCCGCGCCATCGTTTGCCTGCAGCCGCCTGACATGCTGAGTCCAACTCCAGGAGGGCTGCGAAGCCGAAGCCGTCGGCTTGGACAGCAGCGCCGAGGCCGAAGGGCTTCCCAGCAACGGGGGTCGCTTTGAGGTTCAGAGGTCTAGAAGGGTTTAGGGCTCAAGATTTCGCGGTTTACGATGGTTAGCGCGGATTTGGGAAGGAAGCGTCCCCAGCCTCGATGTCCTTAATTTTTCAGATACCTGTGTTAAGCACCAGGTTTAGGAAGCAAATCGAGGCCAGGTACCAGCGGTGTGGCGCAGACTTGTTTAGGACTGAGCGAGGATTTAAATCTGCTGCGGATCAGAGCAACAGAAAAAGTCAGACGGAGTCTCACTGCCCATCACTGCAGATTTAAAGTCGGGGGCTTCTATTCCTTGCCCCAAAACCCTACCTGCACCGCTCAAACCTCCAGGCTTTGGCTGTTGCCCAGAGCAATGCTGAGAACTTGCTGCGGACGCCGCGACATTTCCGAGGGGTGGTCGGCCTCAGACTGCCTCTCTTGGGAAAGGTTAAGGGTTGTCGGATGTTGTCGGGCTTGGCATTTTTGGGCCAGATTGCTGTTTTTTGGCAGGGTTTCGTGGTTGAAAGCTCTTGAGGCAGAGTGAGACGCAGGAGCCGAGCATCACTTGCGTCCTGGGGTCAAGCCCTTTTCAGGTACTTTTCTACCAACCAAGGCCCGGAAAGGGTTAAAACCCAGAAGATAAGGATAGACTCGGATGGACGGAGTAAATCACTAAACCCGAAACCCTGAATTCTTGGAGGAGCCTTAAATCCTGCAGCCCGCCAGGTGGAGGCGTGCTTTTCGGACCTCGGGTCTCCCAGCTTGGCCAGGAAGCTGATGGTAGGGTCTTGCAGAGACCAGGGAGGGTCGCTCAGGGTTTGGGCTTCAGGCTTAGTTGCCATCCACAGTCATCGGAGCGAGGGTTCCTTCGCGCCCACCACGACCTCCCGAACGAGCATGCTCAGTTCGGGTGGTGCCGCCGGGAAGCTGTTGGACCTTTTGTTTCTTGGGGCTCTGCTTTCCGGATTGATTGAACGCTCAGGGTACCGATTGCTGGAAGGCTGGTGCAGATGGAGTTGGGACAGACCATTCCCGTTTTGGGTATATGGCACCCCCCACCCCCAACCTAACAATACAATATATGAAAAATCCTATCCGCACTCTAGAACCCCAATTCCCGTATCTATCCAAGTGACATAGCCCAAGCAGGGAATGGGGGGCTTGTAGAATTTGGTTTAGGGTTTGGGGTTAAGGGTTAAGCATTCGATTAATCTACTCGGATTCTCCAAGAATGTTGTAACTATGCAGAACTGCTTATGCATTATAATGCATCATAACGTCATCACATAAGAAGAATTAGCTTGTTGGTTCTGGTTTGTCATCAACATGTATCTCAATCATTACTCTGTCCTTGTGCTTACCAAGTAACATAAAGTAGTTCTCCAAAAACAGATCGTTCATCAACAGGTGTCTCACGTGATCAAGCACTTCTTGTTTTACATGCTTTTTGTTAATCTACTGCCTTCGTTTTCTTGTATTCTTTCCTGTTTGCTCGGCAATTTATGCAGTTGCTCCAAGCTTGCTCTAATCTTGCCCCAATCAATTAAGCCCGAACTCTTCAGTAGGTTCTTTACTGTGGCATCTTGGGCATTTGATTGTCTCCATCTTACTAGTATTAGTAGCACTATCCCTTTAAACAGCTTTAATCTAAACATTCTGAACAAGTCAAGGTGTATTTGACATAATTGTAAAAGTGTTTACTGACACGTATGTTCGTTTAAAACAATAAATATCTTTGACTTGCTTGCAGCGATAACACTTCCGAGTAATGCTAGTATCGGGTTCACGATAAGCCTCAGAACCAACTAATATGTTATTTACTGTTATTGGCATTATACTACGTATTCGTTTGTACATCCATCATACTGCGAGAGTATGAAAAGGTGTTTGCATTCCCTTAAGATTTAATGAAACGAAAAACGAATCAGTGTCATTTCCATACTCTTATGGTAATGCTTGTGATTCTGTTCATCGCGCGGACACGGGAGCAATGGGACCTGATTCTCTTCTAGATGTCTGGCAGGGGAGCTGTACACTGCCAATATAAACTAGATTTAACTATTAATCCATCATACTTAAATGATTCTTCGAAATAGTTGCATCTTTGTCTATCCTTTCAACATCTGCATCCAATTTCTCTATTCTTTGTTCGCATTCCTCTGGTGTTACCTTTTTCTGACCTCGCCCCGTGTCACAGATTTCACCGGTCCTGATTGATCTACAGCACCGTCTTTAAAAATACCATCGTCTGGAGTGCTTCCTCTTCGAACCTTCCAACCACTCTTGACCACAATGAAAGTTTTACCCTCGTTACTTATCTTAGTTTCTTCATCAAAGGTCTTCTTCTACATTTGCAAAGCAAGCAGTTTAGCCCATTTGTGTTTAAGTGGAAGCCACCGTCGTTTGATTCTTGATGATTGCCACTCAATCTTTCTAATCAGTTCTAGTGAAACCACGCAATACTGTTTAAGCTTGGTATCTTGTATTGCGACTGATTGAATTTCTTCAATCTCCTCTATCGTTTCTTCATACTTGTCCGTTGTTAGAAGATATTTTCTCCCAGTAAGCAATGAGTGAAAAAAAACAGCTAAAGTAGAACCGAGAGACATACCTGGGTATAAATTCAAAAGCAGCAAGTTTGATATGATGCCGAAGCTACCCGCGCGGATGTTATGCGTTATTGGTACAGAATTTGATTTTAACAATCTACAGAGGGTCCTTTTGGAGAATATTTCAAGTGGACGACACTTGGACGGCGGTATAGTAATACATAAGCGATGTAATGAAGGTAGACGCGGAAAAAGAACTGTTAGGTTGGGGGGTGGGGGGGGGTGCCGTATACCCAAGGCGGGTATGGTCTGTCCCAACTTTCGGGTGCCTCGTAGCAGGAGATGACATAACACGAACACGGCTGGCTAAGAATACACGACCCGTCTCGTTCGTTTTTGGCCCTGACGAGACTGAGAACGGTTCAGACGCGGAGCGAGACTTCGAAGTTAACCTCGAAGTTGAAGGGTTGTGAAACCATGTGGTCCTTATCATGGTGCTTGGCATGCGTCCTATCGTTCTCGGGATGGTTTACAACCAGAGTTTCTGGATCACTTTTCGACACTTCAGATTCTCCCTGTTGAAAACCAGTTGTTTGCGGCAACAGGACCTTGATGGACTCGAACCATGCCTTCGATGTGGTGGTCGCCAACCCTCCATATCTCACCCGGGCGCAGGCGCCACGGGTGCTTTTTTGGGTGCAGGAAGGCGTCACAGAGCCAAAGCCTCAACGTTGCGTCGAACTCCCGGCAGAGCTCTACTGCTGCTCTTAGTCGGGGGCTCTTGCAACAAAACCCGCGCCTAAGCAAAAACTGCGGCTTCAGCCCAGAGCCTCGAAGTCCGACCCGCAGCCCGGTTCGGAGAAGCCACGAGGCCTCGGAGCTCCTGGGGCCCAAAGCGGAGGCCAAGGAGCCCTGGCAGGCGCCGGGCTTTCGAGGAGTGCGGGATTTGCAGGTTTTTGGGTTTCTGTTCTTTATCGATCTGGACACCAGGGTTTGAGATGTGGGGTCGGCAGGTTTGGAGCTTTCGGGTCGGTTGCGAACTGCCCGTGATCACAGGTGTTTCGGACCCCTTTGACCGTTGACCGGAGCCAGCTACGTGCGAATACATGCAGCAGCCTTCAAGAAGATCATCCCATGAGTCAAGGAGCAGCGACCAAGATGCTACCAATCTGTTGGGATGGAAGATCATCTTATCATGGAGTTCAGATTCGCTGGTAGAAAAAGTAACTTGAGCTTTCGTATCTGTGGTTTCAATCAACATTGCTCCATCGAGAAGCAACAAGAAAAGCTTAAGTAAGGATAGCTTGAGAGCTTCATGGGGTGCGGAGTCTCATGATAGGTGGTGTGTTTCAGGATAATGCGACACGCCACCGAGATGCTTTTGAGCTTTTGAACGCGTCAGGGTAAAGTTGCTCAAATGTGAAGCCGAGCGTAATTCAGATTCAGCCGTGAAGCCCAGATACAAAGACCGTCAACCCCACAACCCTGACCCTAAAACAGAGTCGTACACGTCAGAAACACGCTCTTCCCTGATAGACCCCAGCGCTATTTTACCACGAAGCCCCGTACATCAAAGCTGGCAGGCTTTCGTTTTCCGGCGGACGGCGAAGGTGAAGACCGCCCTGAAGGGACGCAAGGCCCCGCGCTCAGAGCTCAGAGAAGCCTTTCTGGGTTGGGGATTGCAGAGCCTCTGGTTCACGGAGTCGTCTGGACGATGGAAGGGTCTGTGCCGGGTATGTGCAAGCAGCACATGCGCATGGGGACTTGCTGACACCAGGGCGACGTTGACGGCGCCATCGCGGCGTATGCCGTCCTTCTGACGGCTTTGGCGTCTTGACCCGCGATGCCGAGTTTGAGGTTGCTGTTTGTGCCGCTGCTGGTTCTAGTCGTGATTGATCCCCGTGCCACATCGCTATTTTCTGACGTCAGGAATGCGACCACTTCCCCCGCAAAGGGCTCTTGTTTGGGATACCACATCGCATAAGGAGCACCGGAGGCACCAGAAATTCTCAACTTTGACCCTGAGACCAAAATGCTAAGCCATCCCACTTTTTTTGAGCTGAGGACTCTGCCCAGGAAGCAGGTTTCCCTCTTCTCAAGGACCCGTTTCCTCGGAGATCTTCCTTTCTACGCAGGTTTGGCTTTCCGGTATCGTGTGTTGAGGTGTGGTGTCTTGGCCTGTGAAACGTCAACTTGGCAGGTTGCAAGCTGCTTCGCAGCTTGAAAGTCTCAGTTGCGCCAAGTGCTTGCTAGTTTGACTCGTCCGTTCGTCCGACCGCAGCAAGCATGCTTCCCTGACCGCTATGTTCCACAAGCTTTGCTTCCGTAAGAACTAGTCCATACACTGCCCCTAAAAAGCCCCTAAACCCTGAAAAGCCACAAACCTGCAGAGCCCTGACCTTACGGGGATCCCTTCTTTTGGGAGGAAGGCGGCGCTCTGGTCTTGGAGGTCCCCGCGGCCTTGGAGGCATCGCGGGGACGTTTCTTGACAAAAGGTTTGCATACTGTTTAGAGGTCTCTTTTGAAGGTAGTCTTCGGGGTTCGAGAGGGGATTGAATGCGGTCCTCAACTGTGTCATTGGATCGAAGGACCGATGCATTCTGTCCGTAACACCATTCTTGTTCTGTTGTCAGCGTCGTTGCTGATGTGGTGACACTCAGTTGCGCTCTTCAAAAGGGCCCGGCTCTGAGACTTAAGCTTCGGAGGAGCTCAGCTCTCACCCAGAGCCCTTCAAAACTCCCCAAAACCCCCACTGAACATCCCTCCACCCAAGCCTAGGCAGTACTCAGAGAGCTCTGGTCCGTTCAGGCCTCCGTTCGACGCTTGGTGCTGGAAGCCCCAAGGGCCAAAGCCCAGGTGCCTTGGCCTCTTTCCTGATTTTGGATTTTAAGCGTGCGGTCACTTTGAGGCACTTTGGCGGCTGTTCTCGGATCGCGGATCCTGATTTCGCGTCGAGGGTTTGGGATGCTTCGTGGTTCGAGGCGACAGTCTTGTGGCCCTGCCAGAGCTTCGGAAGACGGCCTGCAGGGCAAGATCCCAATCCCAAGCGAAAGCATAGAGACCCGAATGCTGAGCAGCCATGAAAGCCTCGGCGCCACATCGAAAGAAGCAAAACCCGGGCCCGGGCACCTGGGCAGTTCGAAGCTCCCGAGAAAGCCCTCGGCAGCTTCGGTTTTCCAGGCCTCGCCGCCTCGGAGCGTCTGCCCTGTCTGCTGCTGGGCTCCTCGGGCATTGAGTCGGGCCGAAGCCGCGTCCTTTTGTCGGGTTTTTGGTTCCATGAAGACTGTGATTGCAGTGCGCTGCTGACATTGACACTGCTGGTGCAAGCTTGAAGATTGATTTAGCGCCGTGTCGGCTTAGACTCCGTCTCCGAGGCCGCCTTGGGGCTCTGGCTGCCTGGCGCAGGTGCAGCGAGACTCGCTTCGGGGGCTTGTGTCAAGGCTTGACTGGCTCTATCGTCTTGCAGTACAGATGGCGGCGGTCATGGCAGAGATGATCATGATGGCGACGACAACGGCGACAACGATGCGAAACCGTAGCAGTGGTAGTCCGGCATAGTAAGTCGCCACCCCGTTTTCATCTCAGCCGCCGCGTGCCCCTCTCCTCCGCATCCTCGCCACCACAATTGTCAGCAACGCTACAGGCCCCACCGCAGCATCCTCATCCCCATCAATGTCATCATAGCTGTCGTCGTAATTGACAGCATCATCACCAGAAAATAGCCATCACCGTCACCATCGTCACCATCACCATCGTCAGCGTTATCATCATCATCGTCATCACCATCATCATCGTCATCATCATCCTCCAGCTCAGCATCATCTTCATCATCATCTTCATCATCATCATCATCATCATCATCACCTGCGTCGTTTGCATCATCAGCATCAGTATCACCATCATTACAGTTGTCATTACACCAACGACCTGTAAAGGTGTTAGCAGCTGTTAGCATTGGTGGAGAAATTGAGGAGGAAGACTTGACCTCAAGAAGATCGCCGAGATAGATGAACCTTCTTCGCCTCGGGGTTTAGGACACCGTTACAGGCATCATGGACGCAACGCCTCCCTCCACAATCCCCACATCTCGAGTCCCAGTCGGCAGGCGTTGTGGGCATGACAAGTGGTGTTTTAGATAGTTACCTGAGCTAGTAGAACTCTACTTGCAGCCACTCCTCAAAACTCTCCATGAAGGTTCCTGTAAACCCAACTGAATTAAGAACACATCGAGCTTGTCACACTCTCCTCGTAACCTAACCTCTTCAATCCATTTCTGAAATTTTTTAGCCGTAGCTAAAGGCCAAAAATTCCCAAGCTTTACACCGAAATACCGAGAAAAACTAGCTCGTGGCGCCAGGCAGAGCGAGCCGGTGCGAGCTGGGCCTTCGAGGATCGCTGTGCCTGGAGGAGAGGCGCGAATGTGTTCTTGGCGTTCCATAAAGTAGATGGAGCTCGTAGTACGAGGGTTCCTTAATGTGCTTTGTTGCTTATGCCTTCACTTATGTAAAGCTTCTTTCTATGTCTGTAGAACATAGTCAAGGGGTAGGTGTTCATTCGGCTTCTTCGTCTCACGGATGGGATTTCGGGTGTTTCGGGATTGTGCATGCTAATTGGCTCGGAGGGCTTCAGGATGTGACTAAGACCGCCAAGAGCAAGACTTGTGACACAAATTCCTCTCCTTGTGCTTCTGCCAAGGACGGAAGCCATACAGCATCTAAGCTTCAACCCATCCTGAAATCTAAGCGGCGCAGAACCAAGCAACCTCATCTACTGCACTGTAGTCTACTCTTTTGAAATTGCTTGTCCTTGCGTAGAAGAGATAAGTCGAATCTTTGAGGGGCCTTGAAGAATAGCCCAGGAATGAAATTCCCTCGTGTGACATCCGGCTCGGAGGTTCCTCGATGCCTCGGGCGTCTTCCGGGGCTTCGTCTTCCGGCGCAGATCAGCGAGCCAAAAACGCCTACTGATCTTGTGTAGCACCACCACGCACGGAAGGTTTGCAAGGGGTGTCATGCAATGAGCCCTAAGAGCCCTGGGAGCCGGTGGCTCTTCTCACGATAGAGTTCAGCAACATGCAGCTAGATCTATGAGCTTGACCTTGGATGCATTGGGGACACATGTCAATGGTGTGTACAGGCAAACAAACAAGCGAGCAAGCAAACAAATAAACAAACATACATACAAACATACATACATATTCACACTTCACTCACACATATCCCCGTACATCGGGCAAAGTACATTTAGCGTGTTGCAAGTCGAACGGGGATCTGTTTACAACATGATAGCAACTGTGGTGCCGACTATCAGATTATTGAAACATGGGGGCCAGTAAAGTAGCAACTAGACGCAGTGCACCCTTGACCGCTGTGTTTTTTTTTGGAATGGTGGCTCTGCTCATACTGGTCTTGGCAACCATGTTGATGGTGATGATGATGATGGTGACGATGATGATGCTGATGATGGAGACCTTGTGTTGCAGCAAACTTAGGCATAGTGCAACATGTTCACATTCTTGTGTGCTTTGCTTGGCCGCCAGCCCACGCGTTGCAGGCATTGCTGCTGTGCGGGCCCCGGACATCTCGTGCCAATGTCATCCATCCAATCTCTCTCTTGTGTACAAACCTGTGACGTTTGACGTCGGACGAAGAGCACAAGATAGAAACAAGCCCAGAGAAAGCTGCTGCTCGAGGAAAGTGCCCACTGGGCATAGTCTGCCTTTTCAGGGTAAGGGTGGTAAAAACAATCATGTCCAGCGCGATAGACATGCAGATGGAATCTGTGGTTTCTTCATGCAGCTGGTCGCAGAAGCTTCCGCACCACAGTACTTAGATCGCGCAACAGGATGAAGCCCCAGACACTGGCCCTGCGATAGCATGCGCTTTCTTTTGTGCTTCAGTGTCCGGGTGGATCCATTTT